AATCCATTTTCTTTTTTTTTAATATCTTTCTAATTTTCCAGTTCATTCTATTTCTTTTTTCTAATTTTTTTAAATTTATTAGTTCATTCTATTTTTATTCATTTTTATTCTTTCTAATTTTTTTGATTCCAATTTTTTTTTTCAAATTATTTCTACTTTTTTATTTTATTCCATTTTTTTAGTTTTATTTAATTTCTTTCTAATTTTTTAGTTCATTCTATTTTTTTTCTAATTTTTTAATTAGTTCATTCTCTTTTTTATTCATTTTTATTTCTTTCTAATTTTTTTATTCCAATTTTTTTTGAAATTATTTATTTCTACTTTTTTATTTTATTCTTTTTTATTTTTATTTAATTTCTCTCTAATTTTTTAGTTCATTCTATTTTTTAATTTTTTTTATTTATTTTTTGTACCAACTTTTTTTTATTTTTTTATTTTTTTTCTAATTTTTCCTTAGTTCATTCCATTTTTTTTCTCTTTCTAATTTTTTTACTTTATTCCATTATTTTAATTTTTTTAATTTCTCTCTAATTTTCTAGTTCATTCCATTTTTTTATTTTTTTTCTAATTTTTTTATTTAATTCCAATTTTTTTTATTTTTTTTGTATTTCTATGTAATTTTTATTAAATTTTTTTAGTTTTTTTTTTTTGAATTTCTATTTAATTAATTTTTTTTAACTTCATTCTATTTTTTTATTTTATTCTAATGTTTTTTGGTTGTTATTTTTCGGTGCTGTTTTTATTTTTATTGTTATTATTGTAGAGATCGACTACAGCCCTTTTACTAGCTGTTTAAGGAGATCATCATCTGGTTCAGACTAGAGAAGTTCAAAGTGTTCCTTGAAAAGGGTTAAGGGGAGATGTAAAAAGGTATTTAGGGCCTTCAGAGCGTTCGTTGGGGATAACTGAGTTGAGTCTCGTTAAGTAAGAGCTCTCTTAATTGGAGAAAATGCCGCTTAAGTTATTACAGTTCAGGTAACAGTAGGGTCTCATTGATTTCTTTTTATCGCCATTCCGGAAGTTTAAATTTCAGCTCGGCAAGAGAGCTTCAATAGCGGTTTGATGAGTGGTACTCGCATGCAATGAAATTTTTTTTTTCGAATTTCTCAACTGAACGTAAGTCTAGTGAAGTTTTTAGCTCGATCTGCTGCTCATTTGATTTCCGCAAATATAAAAAAAAATTTTACAACATCTGCATTTATATACATTTAATTAATGAAATTTTATTGGTTTAATATTTTTCTCTTTAAAATACACAAATATATTTGTTTAATAATAGTTATAATAATACAATAATAAAGGTAATAATAATAGTGATAATAATAAAATACGTTCTTTTTTTATTTATAAAGATTTTGCTTTCTTTACTAAATAAATTTAGAACAATCAATTGATTTACAATTACATAGATATATATATATATTTATTTAATTTTTTATTTGGTTACAATTTTGCAGTTTTTCTTTTTCAATATACTTAAAATTATTATTTTTATTAAACTGTTAGTGTGTGTTAATTAATTTGGTTATTTTTCAAGTATTTTTCATTCAATAATTTTTTTACCTTTTCAGCTTTTTTTTATTCTTTTATTTTCTTTAGTTTTTTATTTAATTTTTCGCATCCTTTTTTAATGGAATTTTTTTTAAACTTAATTTAAATTTTTTTATTTTTTAGTTTTATACATTTTTTTTAGTATACAATGTATGTATGTGCATGTGTGTTTAATATGTCTATCATTTTTGTTAAATAATAATTGCAACAAAGTGTCATTTAATGTTAGTAAATTATTTTATCAATATATATGTATGTATGCATATGCTTAAATATATATATATTCATGTAAATTAGACTCAGAAATATGTATGTAATCGATTCTCACGCTTAACTACTCACAGTCATGCAATTTTGCAATTTTTTTTTTACTTTGCAAAAAAAAATTTCTATACTTGATTAAAAACAATTTTGCAAAAAAAATTTTTTTTTTTAAATTACAAATAAAATATACAAATTAGTTTTAGAAAAATAAAAATCAAAATTTTTGAACTTTTTTAAAATGAAAAAAGAAAAATTAAAAGAATTAAAAAAAAATTTTTTAAACTAGAAATTTTTAATTTTACCAGGAAAAGTTTTTCAGTAAAAAATAACATACATTTTCATTAAAAAAATAATAATAATAAACGTTGTTATAAGTAAAAAGGAAATTTTTTACTCAACTCAATAAAAAATTAATGGTAGTTTCAGAGTCATTACCAGTAATAAACGTAAATTTTTAATACAATATGTTAAAAAAGAGTGCTCAAAAATTGAAGAAAATCGAATAAAATCAATTAAAAAAACAATAATTAAATTAATTAAAAACTAATAAAAAAAAAATAACAATAAAATTACATAAAAAATAATAATTAATTTAATTAAAAAAAAAATATTTAATTGAAAAAATAGTTAAAAAACTAATCAAATTAAAATTAAAAATTAAAATATTAAAATTTATTATACTATTAAATAGTCATAGAGGAAGTAATACAGAGCAGCTAAATTCCTTTTTTTATTTTAAACCAGAAGGGAGCTGAATATCTTGTGTAGGGGTTTCTTAAAAAAATGTAATAATATCATTGTTAAACAATAAAAGGAATTACTGATTAAATGTGAACAAAAGTGGCATATTTTATTTAGGATATATTTAAATTAAAAATAATTTAAATTTTTTTTTTAATTTGCAGAATGTTAATTTGAGAAAATTTTGTCTAAGAACAAAAAACATATACTTTAAAAAATTAATTTAAAAAAAAATTAAAAATAATCATAAAAAAATTTGATTTTAATATTTGCAAAAAATATTTTTTTAATTATACTTTTTAATATAAATTTTTTATGCACTTGTTTGTTATTAGTTTGGTTTTTTTTTTATTTATCTCTCGTCAATTATTTGTCATAGTTACTACCTCCATCTTTAACTACTATACACACTAACATTCATTGCTAAAGCTTTCAGAGAAAAGCACATCGTTTACTGCTACCACATTAATCTCATAAATTTATTTTTATTTTTTATAACATATACTTACATACATATGTATGTATTTAAATAATAGTTATCCCAACAAGCTTCCGAAAGCTTGATTTTTAGTTCTTGCAAATATGTCAGTAAATCAAAAATACAAGCAGTTGAGCGCGCTGAAGCTTTTTATAAAAGCTCATCAACAAATAAACTGTTCAAGCTTTTGAAAACTACCAATATCAACTACATTTGAAGGCGTACAGAAGAATTCTGAAATATTTTTGCACATGTTACTAAAAATGTAAGCAATGAATCGCGCTGAAAAGCTTTCAAAGACTTACAGAGAAACAGATTTTCAGAAAGTTATGCTTTACCGATTTAAAAAAAAAATTTAAAAAAAAATATATTTAAATGCTTCTATTGTACAAAACAGTGTAAAGATTTCGAAATCTCCGAAAGCTCTTTTAACAATATGCAAAAAAGCTTTCAAAAGCTACACAAATTTTTTTAAAGAAGAGCTTAATTTTACTTCATTATAGCGCAAATAACTTCAAGAGACTCAAAATTATATAGAAAATGTACAACTAACGTGCATTTTCATTTAAGGAATTTTTCAGAAATATTTCAAAAGCTGTCGAAAGCTTGAGAGGTAACTTTATTTAAATAAAGTTGGTAAACATAATAATTAAGAGACATTGTTTGAAAGGAATGTCGATTTGTGAAATTGGACCACGAAGCTTTCGAAAGCTCTCAACGATTATGTATGTTTCTGCTTACTTAATTTAAATAATAAAATTTTCCCATAAATTGGCATTGAATTAGTTATCCTTTCCGCAACTGCTAATATGTCGTGCTACCAAAATTTTGCTATTAATACATGCATGAAAATTGCTTTTGCACTCGTTTTTGAGAGCTTTTTTATTGCTCGATTCACAGTTCAACATGCATGTGTGTAATTAGCTAATCTGTACACATATTATATTTTAGGCATAAGGGTATTTAAAAACGTTTCGAAAATATTTTGAAAGTCCTCAAAGCTTTTGGAAGCTCGCAAGTGTTTTGAAATTTATTTAAAGCGTTGGAAGCTCTTAAAATTAAGAAATCCTTAAAAAGCTCTTGAAGTTTTTGAGAGCTCTTGAAGCTTTTGGAAGCCCTTGAAGCTTTTGAGCGCTCCTGTCGCTTCTGAAATCTCAAAAAAAGAAACCTTAAAAAATGTGAAAATTTGAAATTTTTAATAATTGTAATATTAATTTTTTTTACTAAACTAAAACATCAATATATTTATGTATGATTCTCTTCAGCTGAGAACGCTTTTTCACTCTTTCGCTATGTATGTATCTATGTACGTATAAATATGTTTGAGTGTCCTGCTATACATATATTTTATCATATATTATTATTAGCTAAAACTTTTGTTTCTCCTTTTTGCCAACTTTTGTTCACACATTCCACATTCTTTCTATCGACCTCTCTCTCTCTCTCTTTCTCTCTCTCTATCTTTCTCTCTCTCTTTTTCTCCCTCTATTTTTCTTTCTCTCTCTTTTTCTCCCTCTCTCTCTCTCTCCATCTCTCTCTCTCCCTCTCTCTCTCTCTCTCCCTCTCTCTCTCTCTTCCTCTCTCCCTCTCTTCATCTCCCACCTACACCCAGCGTTTACTTAGAACTTGAAATTTTTTATTTATTTTTATTATTTATTATAATTATTTTTTTAGTAATTTATATTTCTTAATTAATATATATATATATATATATATAGTTTTTACTTTGTTAGTGTGTTTGTGGTTAACATTTACAACTTTACAGCATAATTTTGTAAAAGAAAATTAAAACAGAAAATTTGAAATTCATCAAAATGTTTGGCTGCCAAAAAGCGAGCTCACAGAATTCTGCCGGAAGAGGTTGGCAGAGTATTTTATATAAATGTTTATATGTATATGCACACGGATTTGATTTCTTATTTAAATTAAATTTTTAGTTAATTTAATTTAATTTATTTTGTTTTTGTTTTTGGCTCGTTCGTTCGCATTTTTTGACGCGCTCGGTTACTTTTCGCTGGACGCTCGCCGGCTTTTTATGCTTTCTTAAGGAAAATATATTTATTTCCCCTTTCCTTACCGCCCTTGGCGCCGCTTTACTTCAACGCCTCCTTGGCGCGTTGCTCCCACTCCGCACGTCTCTGATGTATACCTTTGAACTCGCTCACCGTAGCCGAGCGTTCGATGGTCTTACAGCTGCCACTGCCGCCGCCGCCTCCGGATGAGCTGCTGCTGAGCACGCTACTACTACTGCCACCGCTGCTATTGCTGTTGTTGCTGTTGTTGCTCTCCAATGCCTTCATATTGAGTGACTGACGCTCGCGCGTTTTGCCGTTCTGCTGCTGATGTGTTGGCTGTTGATGACCATGACCGAGTTGATGATGATTATTATTCAAATTGTTGTTGTTGCCGTTGTTATTGTTGTTGTTGTTGTTGTTGTTAAGCGCTTCACACGCCGTAGTTGGATAGATTTTACTCACACTGTTATTACGCTCGATGGGTAGGTTGCGGAAGCCGGCGACCTTGATGGTTGGCAGAAAGCTGCTGCGATTGCCGGCAGAAAGGCTGGCGATGTTGACGCCGAGAGAGCCGAGAGAGCCGTTAGTGGTTGTGGGGGTCGTGGTTGAGGTCGAGTTGGCGGTGGTATTGTTTACGGTGGTGCTTGTGTTGTTGCTGTTACTATTTGCGGCAGTGTGATTATTATTGTTGCTGTTGCTGTTGTTGTTGTTATGGTTGTTTTTATTGAAATTGCCATTATTCAAACTCAAACCATTCGTACAACCATTGCTCACCGCCGCTGCCGCCGCCGCCGCCGTCGTCGATTTGTTGCTGCGAAAGTCAGCCAATGAATTTCGATTATTGATGCCATTCGACAGCTTGCCGCCCCCCAGTGACTGCAGCTCCAGTGTCGCCTCTTGTTTCGGTAATTTATCGAGCTTTTCTTCGCTCGCCGATTGATTTTCCTTATCACTGTCGACATTCTGTTGGTTTGCGGTGAATTTCTTTGACCCGCCAACACTACCACTGCCACCACCACTATCACCGCCGTTACTGGCGTGTAGCTTGTCCGCCAAAGCGTTGATGTCCTCGTCTTTGATTTTTAACGAGCGGCGCGCGAACACCTTCATCAGTTCGGGTGTTGGGTCATCGCGTTTTCCATTTGTGGCGGCGCAGACTTGGATGGCAGCGCAGAAGGACTTCTTACGCAACATAACCACACCCTCATTTGGCGTCTTCTCACCCGTATCGAGCTTCTCTTCTGATTTGGCAAAGGATTTGCGATAGACCTCTTCGGTGATGGATTTCTTGCGTTCGTTGCGCAACTCCTCGATACGCTTGTCGGTCTTTAACTTTTCCTCGCTCATGAAGAGTCGTTTGCGCTCTTGCAGTGACAATTTATTACTGCTAATTGTGGAGGCGTCAGGTGTTGCAGGCTCCGGTTTCTTGGCGCGCAAGACTACGCTGTCGTCGACATCGGGTGTCGGTGTTGTGGGTGTTGTTGGCGTAATAGCTACAACAGATTGTTGTTTCTTCACGGGGCTACGTGGTGGCAACGCGCTTAGTGCGACCTGAGTTTTGGTTGGCGATTTAGCGTTACTGGTGCTCTTCGCTTGCAGCTCGAAAATCGGCTTTTGTTTGTCTACTTCAGTGGGCGAAGACTTCTCAATGATCTCGACGCTCTCATTGCTCAAGCGACGCAAGTTGAGCTCATCCAGACTGGTATTGCGTTCGCTGCCGTTAGCCTCTTTGGTCAATTGGGGTTGGGGCGACTTCACCTGTGGTGTCTTCTCTTGCTGTGGCGACTTCTCTTGCTGCGCTTGTGGCTGCTGCTGGTTGGGCGGGTGTATCTCACGCACATTCTTAGCCAAAACCACATTGGCGCTCTTGGCAATACGCGCCGGATCGACACGATTCAGTTGGATGCGCATAAACTCGGGCACGCCATCATCGTTTGGCGAGCTGCTGCCGCTTGTGGGCTCAATTTGCTGTAGAAAAGAGGAATGGATAAGCATTAAAAGTGGAGCTCCAAAAACTAAAACTAATTTGTACTCACCTTGCTCACACCGCTGCGTTCCTCACTACCATTTGGACTACTTGCTGGCGGTGGACTGTCCATAAGACTCGTACTGCGTCTCGTGGTTTTGACACTTTGCATCTTGTTTGTCTGCGCTACCGGTGCTGGTGCTGACTTGCGTTCCACATCTTTGGCGCCAGCCAATAAGTCCATCGAGTTGCGTGCGCTGCTCACTGTCGCACTTGGTTTCGCCTTCGTTGGTTTCTCGCGTAGCGAAACAACGGCAGCGGTGGTGGGCGTAAGTCTCAAGTCATCGGTGGAGGTGGAAGTGGAGGTTTCAATGCTGGCATTCGAATCCCGCAAATGCAAGACTTTAGGGCGCAGTTGTTGCTGGAGTTGCTGCTGCGGCTCTACTTTAACCAGATCGGGCATTTGTGGTGGCACCACAGTGATCAGCGATACGGGCGCGGCCTTCGTGATGGTATTAATCTGTTCAACAGATTTCCGTGTGCTGCTTGAGGCATTCACCGTAAGAACGACGGGTTTCTCCTCCAAGCTCGTGCTGCTTGTGGGCTTGCGTAGCACATTAATGAATGGCGACTTTGAAAGCAAATCATTGCTGCTTGTTGGCTCGTGTGCTGCGCTGAGTTCGGCTGTAGCGAAAGAGTTGACTGGTGAGAGCGGCGTCAGTTTGGTTGGTGTGCCCTTTACCGTTATATTTTTCGTAAAGTTATAATTGTTCACAGTCAAATTACCGGTGGATTCGGTGGCGCGCGGTGTGGTACCCAAATCGCGTGCCTCAGCAACCGGAGAGTCTTTGGCGAGCTCATTATAGCAGGGCACACGTAAGTTCATCGTCAAATCGGGCAAACTGGGCATGTTGTTGTGCACTGCTGGGCTTGCACTATTGTATGCGTCCTCCTGATATATGCGGAAGCTGCGTGATTTCTCCACAATCTTACGTTGCTTCTGCTCCTGAATGTTGTGGGAGCGTGTTTCGCCTGCAGCATCCAAAGAGGTGGTGGAGTTTGCGCTTAGGCTGCCATTGCTGCCGGCGAAACGACCCACTGAGTCATTGGAACGGGAAATTTTCTGTTGGAAGGCGCTGAGCCCAACAATTTTCGGTTTCTTCTCGAAGTGATGCTCAGTGGATTTGCTCAAGCTGCACACCGAATTCACGCTGGAGGCCTGTGAGGCGGTAATCTCGCGTATAATGGAAGTCGACTGGAAGACCTCTTGTTGTGAGCATTTGGAGAGTATGCTGCTCGTGCTGCTCGTGTACGATTCGGTGGCGGTTGTGGTGCTGCTGCTCGCAGTAACGCCAAGCTTGCGATCGAGCGAGCCAATATCTTGTGGCAAGTAACGTTGACGTGCTGCTGCGCCAGATTTCGGCTTTTGTGGTGATGTTGTTGTTGCTGATAGTGTAACGGCATCCTTCATGCTCTGCTCATTTTGCGTTGTCAGCTTGTGTGTGTTCAACATGGCATTTAAGCCCGTACTGCCGACTGACATAATCTCCCGTTTGATATCCTTGCGCGTCTCTTCGATATTTTGTTCGTAGCTTATGGCGCTACGGGACTTATCGAGCTTAGTCAAACTGGACTCGGGCGTTTGCTTCATATCCATGCAAGAGGTGGAGATTTGCACCTTTGATTTGGCGTCGACGACACTTTGGCTTGCGTCGGATTTGACATCGGTTGGCTGGTTGCTGTTTCCAGTAGCGTTGCTACGCGAGCCCGAACGCTTCGAATTGCGTTGTATGAGTCGGCGTAGGAAGCCGCTCTCTGAGCTCTCGACGCCAGCAGCATTTGTGGTTTCCTTCTCTTTTTCCTTAATCTTCTCTTTCTCCTTCTCTTTGAGTTTCTCACGCTCCTTTTCTCTCTTCAACTCCTGTTCACTGGGTGTGGGGTCTGTGGATGACTCCTGTGGTGGCTCAAAGAGTGCTGTTGCTTTGGCTGTGAGCGTACGCAGCCCAAAGAGACTGGTTGCAGCCGTTATGGTGCTGCTGCTATTATTAGTTGTTGTTGTGGTTGAAAGGAGAGTGGACTTACCACCACTCTCATTACCCTTCTCGAGTTTTTCGATTTTGGAGCGTTTCACATGAAGTATCTGCTCATTCGATGAAGTTGTGGACTTCGTTTTAGCTGATTTTGTAGGTGATGTCGTCTTCTTCGACTCGACAGCATGTTGGTCGAGTATTTTCGTAGTTACGCTCGGCGGTAGAGAGCGTGTTTTGGCTTTCACGTCATGCTCTATAAAGAGTTTTGAGAAAATTAATTGCGGCGGTGTCAAGAAGTGCCAAAGAAAACAATCTTACCCTTTATGTCCAGTAAAGTATTGCTAGCCAACCTTAGGCTATCCTCGTTGGCTTCCGGTATCGAGGTCTGGAAAAAGTCCCACATACATATAAGTGCTATCGAATACCTCTTTCTTAAACTCTACTTACCTCCAGCGTACGACGATGCATGCGACTGGGTCCCTTCTTTTTGGCCGGTCGCAACGCCATCTTGTGTTTGGCTGCCGAATGTGACAAGCGCTGACACTTTGCGCCCAATAAATCGGGCTCATCGCGCGTTGAATCATTACCCAAACTGCCGCTCGAGGAGTGTCGATAAATCTCCGACGTCACCGATGTGGTCGATACTGTGGAAGAGCGTGTAAGGCTACGCCCACCCAACGATGTGCTCAACGCACGTTCTTGCATAAATTCTTTGGTGCTAATTGTCGAATTATTAGCTGTGGATGAGGCAAACAAATCATCGCCATCACCGCTATTCATGCTCAACAAACTCAGCGAGGAAACTTCGCTCTGATTACCGCCAGTGGTGGCGCTCGAAGATGTTGCTGTGGCGTTGGCGTTGGCGTTGTTATTGTTGCTGCCATTTGTGATGTGGTGGCTGCGTTGTGTGCGCTCCACACGTCTCTGTGGCGATGCGGGACTACGTGGTAGACCGAGATCCTCTTCGGAAGCATCCTGACGATTGCGATTGCGTTTGCGTAGCACATCGGAGAGCTCAGCCTGCGGGAGAGCGGAAGAGCGGGAGAGCGGAAGAGGGAGAGAAAGAGAGAGTGAAATTTAAGTAAATCATATATGTTTTAAGGTAATAAAAGGAGGTTTGAGCTTGGGTTTTGGCTGGATATGATATAATATAATAAATAAATACCCATGTCTTCCAACGAAAGACGAGACGTGCTCGCAAACAGCTGCGTCCGCTGCGACTTTCTCCATTACTCAAAGGTTTGATTTTCATTTTAAACGGATTTTGTTTAAAGTCGATCATTTTCATTTTTATTTGATTTCGTGGAAATGTTTTCTTACTTGAGCTTTAATCACCTTAACGTGTGCTTAGGAAATCATAAGAGCGCTTTTTTTATTTAACGATATTTTACTTACTTAAATCTCATAAAATCTATGAAGGAAATTCTTAACCTCAATTTTTCTTCAAATATTCAATACGGGAGTTTCTAAAATCGAGATCAACTCGGTTAATTTTTTGGATACAGAAAGCTTTTAAATTCATCCGCTGTATACGCAGCTTTCTACCGAGTGCTTAGTGCACCGTTTAAGGCACGAGTCTCTACGTTCAAATAAGGATATACGGAAAAAAGATGTCGTATCTTGCATTCCTCCTTAATCTTTGCGCTCGCGTTTTCGTAATTCCAAGTTATAAATAAATCAAACGATTTCATACCTCAATTCAACGAAAGGAGTATTCAAAATATGTATACGGTTTATTAATTCCGCCAAAAACAAAGCTTACGAGCTACTGAACTTCCAAGCTCTTTTAGTACCGGAAAGAAAAAGAAGCGGCAGAAGAAGAAAAGAAAGAGATTGAAGTCATATTTGAATTCTGCCGTATTAAGTACCTTTTTTTCTTTGAAGAGAGAAGAAACGAAAAACCAAGTCGGAAGAGATTATAGCACATACAGAAGCGCAGAAAAAGGTGAATTGGAAAGAAACAAACGCGTATTGCAAATGGGTTTTGATCGAATTCCGTAAAAATAATATTTATTTGACATTTTTACTATCTTGGCGGTCTTAACAAGCTGCCATCGTGTGTCTATGATAGAGTGATCAAATTCTAAAAAGAAACCGCATAATATTGAGAAGATGCCATAACGAGTGGGTAGGCCAAATCGAGCATTCTCCAGCTCCTTTACCTATATGTCAGCTAACCTCAAGTTAGGAACTTCTATTAAGTGTACGATCTTGAAGCACCGCGGCTCAAGCATTAAGGACAACCCAACAAATCGGTGGTCGAAAACCAGTAACACTCTGAACTGCTCTCAACCCGAGACCGTTGGCGGTTACACTGGCTCATTACACTTACATTATATGAATATTAAGAAACTCAGTAGAGAAAGCATACAAAAAATGTTAATTTATTTAAAACTCCCATTAAACATTTTTTGATATAGAAAAGCGTGTCGGAGAAATCAATGCCAGCGGAATGAGTATTAAAATTCATAAAGAAGCATCTAATTTCAAAGTCTTAATAAAAAGTAGTACAATGTTTCAAAGTCACTAGTCGAGCTCTCAAGAGCCTTAATATAGTGTGAATTTCCTTTTAAGCATATTTAATTATATTTAATTATATTTTAAACCTCACTAAGTCGACCTGAACATGGCTTATCTGTGAGTAAAAAATCTTCCGAAGAGATTAAAGTCACAAGCTGTTCAAAAATTTTCAACCTCCGTCTCCGCCTGTATGGAAAATCGCCAGTTTCTTTTGGTGCAGGTCAATATATAATAATCCTTCGGGAGACTAAAGCATTAACCCACAGCCTAAGTCGCTAATCGATGCAGATCTAGAATTTTAGAGGTGCATACATAACATAGACATCCGATAAGAAAGTTATAACCAAATTTTCTGGTCTCCGATGGCGCAACTATGGTTAGGTCCCTTGTCTTGTTGAAATATCTATGAGCTTCAGAGACCCAAGGAATCCACGAAAGACTGCCTATGTAGGCCCAAAATACTTTTGTCATTTGTTTTACGCCAAATTTTTACGCAGCCAACGCTTCCGAGCACGTTAAATTTCGAATCGCCCATAAACAGGAGTCTTCTCCAAAAGAATTCATCCATATCCTTGTATTTATTAGCAAATTAAAAACGAAATTGCTTATTTTTCTCAAATATTAGAGACTTTTTATGTGGAACGCGGTTTCTATAGCTATCTTCCCATAAAGTTCTTGCTATAATTTTTGGGTGTACATTTTTGCCCAATATTTTAGCGATGCTGTCGGCTGTCTTTGGAGCGCTTATTTTAGGATTTTTTCTCACTTTCTTGGTTGTATAAAACTAACAACTCGCCAGGATAGCTTCATTGGACGCCTCGATCTGTGCGTATTTCCAACAGATTTGTAGGTTTTTACTTTCGACCAATATTTTGCACACTCGCATAAGGTTTATCAAGACTTTTTGCTATATCGCGATAAGATTTTCCTTCTTGAAAATGTTTAATCATTAAGTTTTGAACACCACCCACACATTAAAATGCTCGAGTGGCCGGATTTACCGCTTGGCGCGCGCCGCTCTCTACTCTGCTATACTCACTTCCAGGTCTTGCGAACCTTCGGACCTAGTTCTATATTATTTCTAAGAGTATTTTCTAGCAATTTAGATGATAGAAATTTTCTATTTTTAGAAAATTCAATTTTTTGAAAATTTGTTAGAGGAACCTGGCCTTAAGGAGTTACCTGAGTGCTGGAACTTCAAGAAATTAATTTTCTTGATAGTTTTTTGTATAAAAGCAAAAAGTGTGTGCAATATTTTCCCCAAGTTTCAAGTCGATCGAAACGAAACTGTAGAAATTAGAGAAGTTTTATAACCCGCCGTCTTTGTCATGGCTTGGACCAATGGCGACAGGCAAGACGGCTGTTTTCTTAAAACCACTTTATCGAAATCGGTAGTCAAAATTTCTCAACGACTTTTGAAGCGATCGAGTTCAAATTTTCCACACTTCTTTTAAGCATGTTTTTGTAGACCCTGAACGAAGTTTTTATTTTTTCTTTGATTTCAACTCATTTTACAAGCCAATATGTGGCCTAATTTAAAAATTGATTTTTTTTTTGTAAAAAACGGTACAAAAATTCAAATTTTTAATTTTTTTTTTTCATTTCTCTTCGTTTAAGGACAAAATTTACCTACTTTAAGAAAAAATTGGGATTTTTGTTTTTGAGATAAAAATTTAAAAAAGTTCTCTCGACTACCGCGAAAGCACTTTCTTGTGTACGGTCTAGTTCACGACACTGCCAAAGCCTTAATTTAAACTATTTTTCATTCAAATTTTCATCAAATGTTTTCCACATATTGTACTTTTATATGTAAGTAAAATAAATTGTGTACTTTATTTAGTATCTTTTAAAAAAATTAGAGAAAATAAGCTTCTTTTTTTGCCTTCAAGTAACCCCTTAAGCCGCCTGGGATTTAATATATAAATATTAGGCGCGTAACTAATATTCGGTTCCAGCTGAATTTAAACTGCCTTATTTGTTAAAATAATAAATTTATTCAATCACGCGTTTACACACATTTTTCCACACAAAAATATGCATGTGCATATATGTAAGCATATCAAAACATTCATCTGTATTTAACCAAGTCAGTTGGTCAAGCGAACAAATTTTTTCTAAACAACAACAAACAAGCAAAGCGAAAGAGTAGAAGCAGAAAAAAAACACATTGACCGAGTGCCCAAATGTAACGAAAAGGATAAGTATTTTCAGCATATGTACGTGTATGTATGTATGTATAGCCATATATGTATATGTTTGTGCTAAGAAATAAATAAAAATGCACTTCTCAAGCAATAAGACCGGCGAGTTTATTGAACCCGGAACACACATTTGTGGCAGTGATTTGAACTCTTGAAAATATAATACGTAGTTTTTTGTTTGTTTATTTTATTTTTTTATTTATTTTATTTTTTTTAAATAGATGCCGTCGATTAAATGATACTGAGAATTTAAAAAATTGGGAATTAAAAAAACAACGACGAAGTAGACATCATGAAATGTAAATATCATAAAATGATATAAATTTAAACTTTAACATATTAGGTATAGTAAAAAGAATTCCTTTATTTTTTTATTTTTAATTTTATTTTTTTATTTTTTTTATTATTATANTTTTTTTTTTTTCATTTTATTTTTTTTTATTTTATTTTTCATTTTTATTTTTTTCTTTTCTTTTTTATTTTAATTTTATTATTTTGTTTCATTTTATTTATTTTTTTTTATTTTTTTATTTTTATTTCATTATTTTTTTCATTTTTTATTATTTTTTTTTTTATTTTTTTTATTTTATTATTTCATATTTTTCATTTTATTTTTTTTATTTTTTATTTTTTTTTTTTATTATTTTTTTTCATGTTTTTTTTTCTTTTCTTTTTTTATTTTCATTTTTCATCCATTTTTTTTATTTTTTTTATTAATTTTTTTTCACGTTGTATAAGTTAGTAAACCTTTTCGTGTTTCCTAAAGTACAGAGCTTTATTTTGACATCTGTCAAACTTATCTTTCAAACCAAACATGTTTTGTTTTAGCCAAAAGTCAGACATTTATGAAAATGATTTGCTTTAGCAGCCAATTGTTAAAACCCCCAAACAAAAAGAGTGACGCAAGCCTGGACTCGTCTCGTGCTTTAAGAGGAGCTTATGGGGGCCTATAATCGTTCAACTACTCAAGCAATTGGAAAAATTTAATAGAAAAAAAATTAAGAAACTGGATCCGTTACAGATAATGTAAGGCTTGAGCAACATCGTTTTGCTCGTTCCAACTCAAGTATCGCGACTGCATGTGAAAGTGTAGCCGAAGGCCCAAAATAAATTTTTCTCGAAGAGCTGGGACTTTCTTCGCACACATTATTTTGCACTTAGACTTTCTTCTACATCCATATAAACTCCAGATCGCAGAACAACTCAAGGCAACTGACGAACCATGCACAACGCCTGTGTCTATTTCGCGAAAACGTCGAGCTGCGACTTTTTTACGGTACATCATGGCGTATTTTGCAC